AATTATGTTTTAAGTGGAACACTTTCCTACCTAATAAACTGCAGTATCATTTATATGCAAATGAGGGGAACCCAGAGAACAATAACCCTAGCAGGGCCTCAATCTATAGGCCTTAGTCTTTCTGAACTGCCAGGCTGACTTTTGTTTTGAACTGCTGCAATTGAAGCCCCCTCCACCCCCTTTAGAAGCATATGTCAAAACCATTGTAGCATCCATACCTCACTGCTTCCGAAAAGAGCACCGTCTACCAAACAGGGTTCAAACACTGGAGAGTTTGTTACTCAAGATTAACATTTAACCATGTCCTACAATTCAATGCTCACGAGGACAGTGAACTCAGTTCTAACGCCCATATGCTATATTACACAGAGCTATGACTGTATATACAGATCACTGATTGAGTGAGAAATCCCTCCCCTTTAAAGTTGTGCTTCATATGACCTGTATTAAAATGTCTGGAAGTCAGTCACACACAGCAACTAATATTTGTTTCCTAACCAGCACTAGAAAGACATTTAAAGTCAAATTCTTATCAGCTGCTAGAAATAATAGGGCAAATAATGAACTTTCTGAAACATAAGGCTTGTGGTGCCAGGAGCAATGGTAATTGCCAGCAACCAATTTAAAAGTCTGCTTTGTATCATTTCATCAAGAGCATGAAAACAGCAGCAGCAGCCTAGACTGGAAACACAGTATGGTGCGCTTTCCCCAAAGGTTCCACCTATTGCAACTAGCTGGCCAATATTACAAGAGCAAATACCATGGCTATGAATAGGACACTGACAGTTCCAGAATGCACCACCTCATAATTCTGCATAATCTTTGCTGAAACATCACTCAAAAGGGCCAGAGACTTTACACTGTTGGCAAAGGTAAATTAGAGAGGGGTGGACCCAAATTTGACAGGTACCCACTCCCACTGTGATTGCCTAGGCCACGGGTGTCAAACTGGCAGCCCTCCAGCTGTTGCAAAACTATGAGGCATTGCAAGATTGATAGTTACAAGCATGACTCCCAAAGGCAAAGGCATGCTGGGACTTGTAGTTTCGCAACAGCTGTAGGGCCTCCAGTTTAACACACCTTGCCTAGGCAATCTGAAGCGGAAGTTGCACCCCCCCCCCCCAAGTTGTCTTCTAGGGCAAGTGACAGAACCGCTGCTCCTTGCGAGTTGTCCCATAGGCTTCTGGGATCTAACGCATTGGGCAGTAAGCACTCTGCTGTGAAGTCACTAGCAGTCACAGCCTTGTGCCCACACTTAAGATGCCGGCACTGAGGAAAGGACAGCCAGTGAAACTGGCTGAGTTGAGGACACTGCTGGATCAAAGGACAGGTGTCTTGTAAAAGTCAGCAGCTACAGTTTTTGTAGCCACCAAATTTTTTTTTTTTTCGTCTTTTAAATTTTTACTGGAGCAATACACATGGTTGAAAGTTTGCCAATAACCAAGACATTCTTGCTCTCGGCTCCACACACACACACACACACACACTACTATTCACCTTGTGACTGCATAGAAGTCACATTAGTTTATATTGCCTGTTTATACTGTCCCTATGCTTATGCAATAGTGCAATCTCTACATTGGGCCAAAGCCCCTTTTTGAACCATTATATTAAGGACTATGTAAAGCCAATATTTCATAATTTCTGAAATGTGCCTGCTTTATTATATATTTGTATGAAGACATATCCTGTTCTCTTCGTATTGCTTCCTTTGTGTGAAATCCCTGGTGTTCCTGCCAGTCCTTCCAATTTCCTATTAAGCTGACCATACTAGGCATGAGAGCACAGTATGTTCAGTTCTCCAGCTATTCTGGGAACTCAGCCTGTTCTCCAATGATCAGACAACCCCTCCCTTCCTGCACAGCCATTCACTGTTCAGATTAGTGTAATGCTGTTTTTCTCTTCCCCCATCTAAGAACTGAGGGAATGTAATCACTTAAATAGAGGGAAAATATATATATTTTTTTAAGCTATACACAAAATGGTTTGCCTTTCATTTCTATTGAATAGGCTGTTTACAATGTGAGGGTTCACTAGCACTTTGACAACTGTATAATCTCCACATTGGCCTATAGTCCATATCTGCCCAATTACAGATTCCCTTGGTGATGGCGAAGTCTCCACATTGGTCTACAACCCCACACTCTGCACTGGTACATAAAAGGTTAAGTGACTGTATTGCCTCTACAATGTTCTACAATTCCTCTTGGCACCATTATATAAGCCTTAGTGACTAGTGTCTACATTTGGTCTACAGGCCCTCCTTGCACTATTATAACAAGTGTTCGTGAATAAGGTCTCCACAATGTCCTCTAGCTCCTCATTGCACCATTATACAAGCCATAGAGACTGTTTACACATTGGCCTATAGTCCCTCTTTGAACTGTTATACAAGTTCTTTGGACGGTAATGTTTCCACAATGACCTATTCTTTGCAGCATTCTTTAAAACCTTAATGAACGTGGCCTCCACACAGTGCAAAGGGACTACAGCCACAAAGTGGAGTGTATACAGGAATACTTACATAATATTGCAAACAGGGAGTATAGACCAATTCTATAAGCATTTGGGGCTGTATAGTCTCCATACTGGCCATTAGTCCTAAAATATAAATAAGCTAAACAGCATTAAAAGTTCGCTTAAAACCTAAATCCCAAAGTCAGAATGTTCATCGTTTTTCAGAGCAGTAATGGAAACATCTCAATCTCAGCGTTCCACTGAAACTTTACGGCATTATGTATTGGGCAATCACAAAAGCAGGAAGGATACCCAATTTAGGAAATGAAGGGAGAAAAAAAAAAAAAAAAAATCCAAGAAAATGTTTTCATGTGACGTTACGCAACAAAGGAGGGCCTATGTTGCAACACTAATGTACCGTGACATCAAAGCCAAATAACTCCAGGCATCTCCAAGGGGATGGCAGTGGAGTCTTTCCCTCCCATTTAGTTCCTCCTCCTACATCCAAGAAGAGGACAATGATATTAGCAGTAATCACAGCATATTTCTAGGCAGAACTTTCTTCCAAACACTAATCTGATCCTTCTGAACAAACAGAAGACACAGCTAGGGTCAGGTAAAATTGATGCATGCACTCCACATCCTTGGCTTCTTTCTCCTGTCCTGTTTATCCAAAGCGTCTCATTTTACATAACTACTTGACAGAGTAAAAGAAAGATACATTCAAGGGGAAAAGCCGCTGCATCTGCTAATAAGGCAGTCAAGAGCTTACTTTATCCCAGACAAAAAAAAGATTCCATTCTCAAGTTGGAATCCAAATATCTTCTAAGCCACCACAAATGCAATTCCTGTGCCAAAATGTTATCTTGGCCAAGAGGCAGGAATGAGTGACGTAGTCACTACTTCCTGGGGCCTATGGTGCAAGGAACGAGGTCATGGAACAAGCCTAAAAATAAACAAGGTGCTGGCCGGATGGCAATATACATCCATTCTACATGAACATCCCATGATAAGCTGACATACTGCACTGGTGGTCTGGATGACTAGAGCAAGCAGTTTCCAAACAGAGCCCCCAGTGGGAAATTTACATCCTCAATTTTGTGATACCTAAAGACATTACAGGGAACACCAACTTCATTTATTGTGCCGCTTTCCTGACATCTCCACATAGGAGAGAATCTCATCCACAGCCCATTAACCAAGAGAATGACATCTGCAAGGAAAAGGTGCTGGAATTTGGCTGGAACAATGGGCCAGGTCAGAGTGCGAACCTCATGCTCTGATGTAGAGAGGGGGGCACAGAGGAGAAGAGAGGCATGCTTTAATAAATGGAGCCTCTCCTGCCCAGACATTCCACAAGAACAGCTCAATGAGCACTACATCCCTGGGGGCACTGACCCCTCTACACCCCATCCACCAACATCACTGAATGTTACCATGCAGCCAGGACCCCCACGCTGGGAGTATGGGGAAACTACTACACTTAACACATCAGAGCACACATAAGGAGAAGCATTCCATGGATACCCAGCAATAAGAGGGGGCCCACATCTTCACATTTGTACATGAACAATTCCAACAATTTTCTAAAGCCCACCCCAAAGAAAAAAAAAAAAAAAAAAAACACAACAAACAGCACCTTATAGAAAACACTCCCACTCCATTTTTTTGACACCTTTTTCACTCTATAGACTCCTACCCACACAAGTCACCTCCACTCTAGGTACCTACCTATATTACATAGTGCCCTTCCCCCACAAATCACCTCCAACTCTAAAGGGTACTCCCCAATTCACCTCCACTCTATAGAACCCCTTATGTCAACTCACTCTTCTCTATTAACCCCCCCCTACAAAGTCATCTTTACTCTATAGACCCCCCCCCCCCCCAAATCCCCTCCACTCTATAGAACCACTTATGTCAACTCACCCTTCTCTATTCCCCCCCCCCCCCCTACAGTCATCTTTACTCTATATACCCCCCCCACTCTATAGAACCCCTTATGTCATGTCAACTCACCCTTCTCTATTAACCCCCCCCCTACAAAGTCATCTTTACTCTATAGACCCCCCCCCCCCCCCAATTCACCTCCACTCTATAGAACCCCTTATATCAACTTTCTCTATTAACCCCCTCCCCCCTCTACAAAGTCATCTTTACTCTAAAAGACCCCCCCCACATTCACCTCCACTATACAGGTATTCCCCCTGAACATAACCCCCATCAAAAAAAAACCCTCCCCCCCATCTACAGAACCCCCTTATAAGATATCCCCCAAAATGACCTTTTAGTCATAGTACCCCCCCCCCCACCCCCTACAATCCACAGCTTCTCATAAACCCTCCACTGTACCCCCAATAATCTGCAGTACTCTTATGTAGAGCCCCTACTCCCCATAGAACCCCGCATACCACTCTACAACCCCCTCCCATACCACACACACTGATCCCTCCACATTCCCTCCTCCACTCTCTCCCCCTCCCCCCTCTATAGGTGGTCTCGGTATCCGGTCCATGGCGGATCCCGTCCCCCCGATCACTCACCGACTCGGCGGATGCCGCACATAGTAGGAAAGCGAGGAGGATGACGATCTTCATGTCTGCTTTTGTAGTTATTCCGGACGATAAAAACTTTATCCCGCTCTGTAGTCCTTACTGTCCGCTCACACTGTGCGCACAACTTCCCTCTGCTGGGCACACACACCTTCAAAGGGTTTTGTACGTCCAGTCCCCCCCCCCTGACTGCACACCTCCCCTCCCCCACTACCGGAATTTCCCTGTCTAGGGATTCATTCACTTAAAGGGGAAATGACATAAGAGGCTCACTTCTCAGCAGAGGAATTTTCCCTGCTCGGCCCTTTTGTTTCCGAACTGTGACGTGTGTGTGGAGGGCTGTCCTCCGTTCATGAGGGGGGAGGCAGACGATGCTTCTCTGTGTGGACTCTGGAATTACCTCACATACCATGACCTCACACACCGTCCCCTCACACGTAATGACCTCACACACCATGACCTCACACACCATCCCCTCACACACCCGTCCCCTCACATGTAATGACCTCACACGTAATGACCTCACACACCATCCCCTCACACACCATGACCTCATGACCCACACCATCCCCCCTCACACGTAATGACCTCACACACCATCCCCTCACACACCATGACCTCACACGCCGTCCCCTCACACGCCATGACCCTCACACGCTACACCCCCCCCTCACACGCCATGACCTCACACGCCATCCCCTCACACGTAATGACCTCACACACCATGACCTCACACGCCATCCCCCCTCACACACCATGACCTCACACGCCATCCCCTCACACGTAATGACCTCACACGCCAACCCCTCACACGCCATGACCTCACACACGCCATAATCCCCACACACGTAATGACCTCATACACCATCCCCTCACACACCAGGACCTCACACGCCATCCCCTCACACGTAATGACCTCACATGCCATCCCCTCACGCGCCATCCGATCACACGTAATGACCTCACACACCATCCCCTCACAAGTAATGACCTCACACACCATCCCCCTCACACACCATGACCTCACACACCATCCCCTCACACGTAACGACCTCACACACCATCCCCTCACACGTAATGACCTCACACGTAATGACGATGCTTCTCTGTGTGGACTCTGGAATTACCTCACACACCATGAACTCACTCGCCCCCCCTCACACGTAATGACCTCACATGCCATCCCCACACGCACCATCCGAACACCACACGTAATGACCTCACACACCATCCCCTCACAAGTAATGACCTCACACACCATCCCCTCACACACACCATGACCTCACACCCCCCATCCCCTCACACGTAATGACCCTCACATACCATCCCCTCATGCACCATCCAATCACACGTAATGACCTCACACACCCATCCCCTCACAAGTAATGACCTCACACACCACCCCCCCTCACACACCATGACCTCACACACCAACCCTCACACGTAATGACCTCACACACCATCCCCTCACACGTAACGACCTCACACACCATCCCCTAACACGTAACGACCTCACACACTCCATCCCCTCCCCACACGTAACGACCTCACACACCATGACCTCACACGTAATGACCTCCCTCACACGCCATCCCCTCACACGTAATGACCTCACACGCCATCCCCCCTCACACACCATGACCTCACACGCCATCCCCTCACATGTAATGACCTCACACGCCACCCCCCTCACGTAATGACCTCCTCCCACACACTCCATCCCCTCACACACCATGACCTCACACGCCCATCCCCTCACCCACTCACACCCAATGACCACCCCCCCCCCTAATGACCTCACACACGTAATGACCTCACACCCCCCCCCCACCCCAACCCCCCCCCACACCCATGACCTCCCCACACGCCATCCCCTCCCCCACGCGTAATGACCTCCACCTCCCACGCCATCCCCCCACACACATCGACCCCACCCCCCCTCACACGCCCCATCCCCTCCAGGTAATCCCTCACACACCACACACCATCTCCACACGTAATGACCTCACATACCATCCCCTCACACACCATCCGATCACACGTAATGACCTCACACACCATCCCCTCACAAGTAATGACCCCACACACCATCCCCTCACACGTAAATGACCTCACACACCCCCCCTCACACGTAATGACCTCACACACACCCCCACCGTAATGACCTCACCCCCATCCCCCACACGTAATGACCTCACACACCACCCCCCCCCTCACACGTAATGACCTCACACACCATCCCCCCCACACACACCATCCCCCACACGTAATGACCTCACACACCATCCCCTCACACACCATGACCTCACACACCATCCCCTCACACGTAATGACCTCACACACCCCCCATCCCCCCCCACACGTAACGACCCTCACACACCATCCCCTCACACGTAATGACCTCACACACACCATCCCCTCACACGTAACGACCTCACACACCATCCCCTCACACACCATCCCCTCATACGTAACGACCTCACACACCATCCCTCACACGTAACGACCTGACAAAACCATCCCCTAACACGTAATGACCTCACACACACCATCCCCTCACACACCCCCCCCTCACACGTAACGACCTTACACACCATCCCCTCACACGTCCCCAACGACCCACACACACACCCCATCCCCTCACACGTAACGACCTCACACACCATCCCCTCACACGTAATGACCTCACACATCATCCCCTCACACACCATCCCCTCACACACCATGACCTCACACACCATCCCCTCACACGTAATGACCTCACACACCATCCCCCTCACACACGACCCCTCACACACCATCCCCTCACACACCATGACCTCACCCCTCACACGTAACGACCTCACACACCATCCCCTAACACGTAACGACCTCACACACCATCCCCTCACACGTAACGACCTCACACACCATCCCCTCACACACCATGACCTCACACCATGACCTCACACACCATCCCCTCACACGTAACGACCTCACACACCATCCCCTCACACGTAACGACCCACACCCCCCCCACCCCACACGTAATGACCTCACACACCACCCACCCCACACTCATCCCCTCACACGTAACGACCTCACACACCATCCCCTCACACGTAATGACCTCATACATAGTCCCCTCACACACCATCCCCTCACACGTAATGACCTCACATACCATCCCCTCACACGTAATGACCTCACATACCATCCCCTCACACTTAATGACCTCATACACAATCCCCTCACACATGACCAAAACTGAGCCCCCCCCCATGTGAAGGGATGGAGAACCCCTTTCCTGGTGACCATTATTACTGGGACAGAGGAGAAATTTGAATAATGAAAGCTGTCACTGGAACAAGAGGTGACACCAAATCTTCCAATAGAAATGCTGTGACAACTGTCTGAGAGGGGATTTCCTCTCTGTTCCTGTTACACTTTCCCATTAGACATTCCCTGTTCTCTCAGAGTTCATTTACACAATGTGAAATTGTAAACACAGTACAAAGCCATATGTCAGAAAAAAATTGAATGTATTTCAGCCGGCCTATTTTTACACCACTGGAGTGCTTTCATGTGTGTTAAAAAATGTACAGCACGCTGAATATTTTCCCATGTAAACAGAATGTAACATCCATTAATGTATTAAAAATGCATGTAAATGCAACTCAGTAAAAAAAAACAAAAAAAAACCGAGAAATAATTCCTAAAAAAACACTCAGGAAGTTCAGTATTTCTATCATACATGTCACTGGAAAAGACAAGATGTAAGCCTCATTCACACGGGGTATATCAGTGTGTACCCTGTGCCAGAGCCATGTGTAGCTACACATGGAGGCACAGATTTTACATCCCCATTCAGGCATTCCCATTGATATCAATAGGGATGCAGTGGCCTCACAGACACAGCCCTTGCTCCCAATATGACAATATGTGTGTGTGGAGGGCTGTCCTCTGTTCATGAGTTGATAGATAGACGACACTTCTCTATCTGGACTCTGGAATTACCTCACACACAATCACCTCACGCATGACCAAAACTGACCCCCCCCTTCTCTGAGGACACCAATCTCCCTTTCCTAGTGACCATTATCACTGGGACACCTGAGGAGAAATGTGAATAATGAAAGTTGTCACCAAAACAAGAGGTCATTTTGCGTGAAACTGGGCAAACCTACCACAGAGATGTCTGACAATGGGTCCTTTGAGGTGTTTTGAGTGACAGGCGCGCTTCAAGAGCAGAAGAACATCACTGGAAGAGGATGAGAGATCAGGAAGACCTTCAACGAGCCCAACCCCTGAAAATATCAAAACCACTCGGCGAATTGTGCATGATTGATGGAGAACAATCCACAACATTGCTGCCATTGGCGCTTTTCACATATTTATTAGTAAAAAAATTTGAAAACCATTTATCATTTTCCTTCCACTTTGTGTTGTCTATCACATAAAATCCCAATAAAATACATTTACGCTTTTGGTCGTAACATGACTAAATGTGGAAACTTTCAAGGGGAATGAATACTTTTTCAAAGTACTGTAAGGCTAGGTTCACATCTATGCGGGTGGTGCCACTGCGGATCCACATGAAAATCCGTGCAGCCGCACCACCCGCACAGAGAAATGCGGACCCGCGGGCGGGTTACGTAAGTTCTAATGGCACACCACCCGCACTGGAAAACGCAACTGTACTGGGAACCAAGGTTCCCCTGCGGGCTGCGTTTTCAGAAGAAGTGCAGGGACTTCTTCTCTGCATGTTACGGGGCACGGGAGTCCATTCAAATGAATGGGCTCTCATGCCCACGCAAAATGCAGCCCGCACAGCCGCATATATGTGAACCGGGGCTAAATGGGTAATGTAGCAACTACTGTCTGGAAACCAGTACCATGAGCCAGACCAGGGGCGGACTGACCATTTGGAAACTCGGGCACTGCCCGAGGGCCCATGGTCAATAGGGGGCCCCATGAGATGCCCCTGGTACTTTTTTCATAGGCTTTTTTGAGTCTGGGCAAGGACACAGGGGCCCCATGATCCCCCATTGCCCAGAGGCCCCATGAATTGTCAGTCCGCCGCTGAGCCAGACTATACATCACCAAAACCCCACAGATCATTAAGTCTGGGTTCACATACATGCGGCTCCGTATATCGCATGTGATTCGCATTCCTGTGCAAATTACATGCGGTTTGTGTGCGGTGAAATCAGAGCCATACATTTTGTATGGCTCTAATCACACCACACCCGCACCACAAACGTGCAGGGTCCGCACTAGAATCGGATCACATGGGTATTCACACCTATGCGATCCAATTCTTCACACTGCGTTATGCAGACCGCTTTCGGGGTGTTGTTAATATACACACCCACATCGGTTCGCATGAATAGGGTGCGATTCTGATGCGGTGCGGAATTCCCACTGTAAACGCTGCAAATTCCGCCCCGCATCAGTATGAAACAGGGCTGGCTATTCAGTGTTCACATTACAGTGGAAAAGTGCAATGTTTCCAGGACATACAGGACTCCTTCAGTGATCCTTGGTGTGCTGTCCATATCTAATGCACTGCAAATGTGCTGCAAGCGCATGGAAACATGCAGGTGGAAGTGCACACTGAGCATACAGATTGTTTTATTAACTCCTTGCCCCACTGAGGATTTACCTCCCTTTCTGACCAGGTCATTTTTTTGTGCTGCATTTAACTGACAATTGCGCGGTCATGCAACGCTGCACCCAAATGAAATTTACGTCCTTTTTTCCCCACGAATACGGCAATTTTTTGGTGGTATTTGATCTCCTGTGCATTTTTTATTTTTTTTATTTTTTTTTTTATTTTCTGCGCTATAAAGAAAAAGACCAACAAATTTGAGAATGAAAAAATATTTTGGATTTTTTGCTGTTAAACATGTCCAGTAAAAAAATAAAAAAAATCAAATTTGTCATAAATTGAAATTGTATTCTGCGTCATGTCTTTTCCGAAAAAAAAAATCCCAATACGTGTAAATTAATTGGTTTACGTAAAAGTTATAGCATTTACAAATGGCAGTATATACTGTATACTGCAATTTTTTTTTTTTTTACATTTTACTAGTAATGGCGGCGATCAGCGACTTATAGCGAGACTGCAGTGGACATTCTGACACTGGGGGGGAACTGACTTGGTGTCACTGACATCCCCAGTGACACCAATACAGTGATCAGTGCTAATAAAAAGCCCTGACACTGTACTAATGGCACTGGAAGGGGTTAACATCTGGGGCAATCAAAGGGTTAACTGTGTGCTGTTTTACTGTAAGCTGTGTGTGTGTGCTTCACTGTTTCACAAGTGAGTGGGGACCCGGTGATTGACAGCCAAGGCCACGGATAGAGGTGTGGGTAGGGGGCGTGCACGGCCTGCGTGCGCCCCCCTACCTGGAAATGCAAAATATATATATGTGATTTTGTGCACCTCTGCCGCCCTGTTGCAGTATATCTTCTATAGGGTGGAGGGAAAGCAGTTAATAGCAAAAAAAATGGCCTTGTCATGAAGGGGGTAAAATCTTCCAGAGATGAAGAGGTTAAAATAAGCCATTGTTTACAAAACGAGTGAAAACGTGCTTTAAGGGGTCTGCGATCCCCTGTTTATGATGGCACCACCATATACCAGTGTACAGTAGTGCACAGCCAGCCATGTCTACAGAAGGGTATATGGTGGGCCTGCCAGGTAGAGGAAAGACGTTGGGATTTACGGTGAATGGGCGATTTTTTCCTCCACCACCAATCTGCCACAACATACTACATCACCCTTATGTGTATAGTCAGAGCACACTACAACTTGTTCAGAATGTTTATTATAGAACTTTGATGACTTTTGGCACTGTTTAACACGTATGAATGTGTTATGATGGGATCTAACACATGTTTAATTACGTGTGAAAAGGCACATGGTTTGCATTTAATTGTTCCTGCTGTGGATATGCTTTTGGTTTCAGAAATTGCAGTGTGTACAGTATGGAGCCTAGATCAAGGATACTTGGTAGCCCCAGGATGGGTGTTTTATGCAGGGCTTGTTTTCAGCAGGAACATGGGGTACTGCAGTTTTGGCACTGGATGTACTGTATATCATGCCAACTGCTGCTGGGGTGTCTATTGATGCTTGCTGCTAGGGAATCTATTGTTGCTACTGGTGGGGGGTCTGTTGTTGCTGAGGGGGTCTTATCTTTCTGGGGGGGGTCATTTGTTGCTGGGAGGGATCTACTGTTGAGGGTCTATTATTGCTGGCTGCTGGAGCATTTAGAGATTTAATGTTGCGGGGGGATTTTTTCTGGGGAATCTCTTGTTGCTGGGGGGGATCTATTGTTGGGGGTCTATTGTTGCTGGCTGCAGGGGATCTATTTTACTGTTTTAACAAATTCCAAATTACTTAGCACAACAATATGATACTTGGTTCTGTATTCTAAAAGGAGCAGTACTGGGAGGTGGGTAGGAGGTGGAACCAAGGGACGGTGCTCGGAGGTGGGTAGGAGGTGGAACCAAGGGATGGGGCTCAGTGGTGGGTAGGTGGTAGAACCAAGGGACGGTGCTCGAAGGTGGGTAAGAGGTGGAACCAAGGGACAGTGCTCAGAGGTGGGTAGCAGGTGGAACCAAGGGACGGTGCTCAGTGGTGGGTAGGAGGTGGAACCAAGGGACGGTGCTCGGAGGTGGGTAGGAGGTGGAACCAAGGGACGGTGCTCGGAGGTGGGTAGGAGGTGGAACCAAGGGACGGTGCTCGGAGGTGGGTAGGAGGTGGAACCAAGGGACAGTGCTCGTAGGTGGGTAGGAGGTGGAACTTAGGAACGATGCTCGGAGGTGTGAGTAGGAGGTGGAACCAAGGGACGGTGCTCGAAGGTGGGTAGAAGGTGGAACCAAGTGACGGTGCTCGGAGGTGGGTAGGAGGTGGAACCAAGGGACGGTGCTCGGAGGTGGGTAGGAGATGGAACCAAGAAACGATGCTCGGAGGTGGGTAGGAGGTGGAACCAAGGACTGATGCTCGGAGGTGGGTAGGAGGTGGAACCAAGGAACGATGTTCGGAGGTGGGTAGGAGGTGGAACCAAGGGATGATGCTCAGAGGTGGGTAGGAGGTGGAACCAAGGGACGGTGCTCGGAGGTGGATAGAGGGTGGAACCAAGGGACGGTGCTCAGTGGTGGGTAGGAGGTGGAACCAAGGGACGGTGCTCGGAGGTGGATAGGGGGTGGAACCAAGGGACGGTGCTCAGTGGTGGGTAGGAGGTGGAACCAAGGGACAGTGTTCGGAAGTGGATAGGGGGTGGAACCAAGGGACGGTGCTCAGTGGTGGGTAGGGGGTAGAGACAGGGGTGAATCATAGGGGGGGGGGAGTTCCTGCTCTTATTCTCTGAGAAAAAAAACCCTGGCTTTATGTATATACAGAAATCAGCATTTTTATTTTTTGCGCTATAAAAAAAAGACCGTCATAAATTTAGGGCAAAATGTATTCTGCTCTATGTCTTTGCTAAAAAATCCCAATATGTAAATGAATTGGTTTATGTGAAAATTATAGCGTTTACAAATGGCGGTATGTATACTGGATTTTTTTTTTACTAGTAATGGCGGTGATCAGCGACTAATAGTGGGACTGCGGCAGGCATTCTGACACTGGGCGGGGACGACGACTGACTAACTGCACTGACATCCCAATGACACCAATACAGTGATCAGTGCTAATGAGAAGCACTGACACTGTACTAATGACACTGAGCAGGAAGGGGTTAACATGTGGGACGATCAAAGGGTTAACTGTGTGCTGTTTCACAGTATGCTGTGTTGGTGCTTTCCACTGTAAGCACACTACTTTTTATGGCGGTGGTATGCAGATGGCTCTGCAGTGTGCAGGAGCTGACGGGAGAGATATGTATTGTTTACATACAGTTCTCTCCCCCGTCGGAGATACTTGGCGATCACTAGGTGGCGGTGAGTAATCACCGGCTGGAACTCGGTGATTGACAGCCAAGGCCGCGAATGGCTGGAACTGTAAAATCATGTATATATACATGTGATTTTGTGCACACCTGCTGCCCTGTAGCAGTATTTCTGGGAAAGCGGTACTCTGTATATAATGATATAAAAATTATACAAAGAAACAAGTGGCTGAGTTGTGGTTTTATCACTCCCCCCCGCTCCCCTCTATAAAGCTTGGTTTACAATTTGGTTTTTTTTAGTGCATTTAGCAGAAATGTACTACAGTCCATTTAACATGGTTTGCTATGGGAAAACATTCACATCTATGCGTTTTTCAGCCGCTGTGTTTTTGAAAAGGGTCAAGGACTTTTTTAAATGCAACACGTTGCATTTTTGATTCAATTACTTCAATGGACATGTGGCAGAAACGCATGTGGTGCGTTTTTTATGAGTTTTGCAGGGGTTTTTTTTGCAAAAGGGAAGTATTGACTTTGATGTGACTTTGATGTGACTTTGGATGGGTGCAACTTTGACGTGATTTTTTTGTTTGCTAAAATGAAAATATGAAGGTTTTGTTCATGTAGTGTGACTTTTATGTGACTTTAGCTCTGGTTTATACCAAATGCGATTTCAAAGTGGTGTGATTTGGTCCCATTTACAGCGCAAAATAGCACTGATGTAGACACAGGTGTGATTTCAGTGCCATTTACCTTATACTCTATGAGAGTTAAATCGCACTGAAGTGGTGAAAAAGTAATGCAGGAACTATTTTTCAAATCCGGCTACTTGAAATCGCACTTATTAAGACAGTGCCATAGAAATACATTAGATGCAACTTCAGGTGCGATTTGTAAATTGCATGTCACACCTGAAGTCACAGCGGTGTGTGAACCAGGGCTTACACTTTCTGGCACTCAAGTAGCAACAAAGTCGCACCCATCCAAACTCATATCAAAGTCACATAAAAGTCGTACACATCCAAAGTCGCATCCAAGCCGCACCCATCCAAAGTCGCATCAAAGCCGCACCCATCCACAGTCACATTCAAGTCGCATCCATCCAAAGTCACATCTAAGTCACACCCATCCAAAGCCCTATCCAAGTCATATCCATCCAAAGTTGCATAAATGGCACATTCAAGTGGCCCCCGTCCAAAGTTGAATCAAACTTGCACTCATCCAAAGTCGCACCCATCCAAAGTTGCACCTATCCAAAGTCGCACCTATCCAAGGTCACATCAAAGTGGCATTAAAGTCAATAATTTCCTATTGGCAAAATCCCCCCCACAAAAGCGCTCCAGAAAAACACATCAATCGCAATACAGAGGTGTGAACCTAGCTTAAAGGCTAAACAACAGCCAAAGGAGGCTGCTCACATGCCACAGCCATGATGCTTTGCGTCTTGGGTGCAGCACATTTAACAAAACATATTGGGTTGCAGCACCGGTCAACCTCGGCCATTCAAGTCAATGGTTGGCTCATGGTTACAACACATTAAGCCCCATTATAAATTGCTGTCCAGTAGAAAAAAAGGCCATCAGGATCACCTCCTGAATGTCTGACAGCAATTGCTAGCATGAACCTAACCTTATGGTGACCATACACACTTCAATTTCTTTCTCCAATTGACCTGCGATTTGATCAAAACGATCCAATCTGCAAAAACATCAAACAGCAATACCATCCCTTCTGATCGATTTAGACTCAGTATCAATCAAATTCGATCAAACTGAGTCAACCAACCAGGGTGGAAAATGATTGATCATTTTCCATCACTCGGCAGCACTGAGATAATTTCTTTATTAATACAATCGTATTTCCATCAATCCGATTATGAGATTACATGGTGGAAATAAAGATGCATTCAATGGTTTATGATAGTAACTAACAATTGTATCATAGCTATTGGTTTAAATCTACTCCTTTGTATGTGGCATGATCAGGGGCGGACTGATAACTCATGGGGCCCCCGGGCAATAGGGGATCATGGGGCCCCTGTGTCCTTGCCCAAACTCAAAAAAGCCTATGAAAAAGGTACCAGGGGCATCTCATATTGGCCCCCTACTGACCCCGGGCCCTCGGGCAGTGCCCAAGTTTCCAAATGGTCAGTCCGCCCCTGGGCATGATCAAATGAGACCCACATAAACACAGAAGCTCCACTGGATTGACCAGGTAATTCAAACTCAGCTGGGTTCAGATTCCCCCCCAAGGGCTCGTCTCATCCAATCAAATGTGACAGAAAGGAGAGACCTCCTCCCAAGCCACGCCCTACTAACGCATTTCACCCACTCATGGAGTCACCTCTTTCCTTAAGTCCATGAGAGGGTGTAATGCATTCTTTATCAAACAGATTGGTGCAGGGAAGTGGGAAGTTAAGGGACCATTTTGCAAAGGCAAAGGCACTTTAACCCTTTCGCTACCAGGTCTGTATGCTGGATGGACCTGACAGCGGGGGGGTTTTACACATACTCCCAATGGCTGCTGCCACCGGGACTGTGTGCATATCCGAGAAGCAGACTTCTGCCTGTTAGATGGAAGCAGTTGGGCATCTCCGGTGGCACCTTAATGCTTTCACACACTCCTGGTAACGCCCCTCCCCGAATGCCCCACCATGCATCTCGGGCTCCACTCGCCCATCTGCGGGCCTGGGACTGGCATAGCAGATGCTGCCGGGGAGGGAGCAGAGAGGACACATGTCCATTCTCCTCCTATTCTTGTTGCAGACCCATAAGCGACATGTCGGGCAATAAGAATTCAACATCCCTGCCCATGTCAGTTTCCCTGGCCAGTATGGTTGGGAAGAATGTGTTGCAATGCAATCTGCATTGCATTACATTCAGTGGAGCACAGGAGAGGTGTACTGGGTCTTTTAGACCCCCGATGTCTCCTGTCACCAAAAAAAATCACAGGGGAATTTTTTAGTCACCCCTCCACATATACGCATGTTCAGTCGGATTGAGTAGTGTATGGCTCCAGTAATACACATAAATTTTTGGATATATTTTACTCATTTTTATATATTTATTCTCATTAGGTCCAAATTGTTACCAGAATGTATTATGTAAATAATAATAGCAATAATAATAATAATAATAATATTTTTTATTAATATTATTGTTATCATATACATTACTATTTTTATTATTACTGTCTTTTTATCCAATTGATGAATTGAAATGGTATGTTTTATTATTCAGATTCTCACTTTTGAGGTTCTTGTATATTGATTATCTATTCAATGTTACCTTATATTAATTTTTACACATCCAATGCCATTGGCTATTGGGTATTTGATTTTAACTTTGACCACGAGGAGGGGATATTGTATTGATATGAAGTTGTACTTATGTTTTTTCTAGCCCTGATGAAGGCAGGTGTTTTGGACCCCCAAAACACACTAGCTACTTTTTTGATTGTCCCCCTGACCTTTATTGGAATAAAGTTGTATCTGGACAGTTGTGTTGTGCTTCAATTTCTATTTGCATTCCATTACGCTACAAGGCAAGAAGACCATGGAGGTCCTCTGGGGTGTAGAAGCTGCCTACCTGGGAACCAGATTATTTGCATCAACAATACTTTTGTGACAGCAGTACTAATAAGATAATTGTATGGGTTCAGCACTATTTTTCCACTTTCCTCAACTGTTGTCTTCTAGAGGCTGCAGCACGTAGTCTGTGGTCTTCTGGAGGCTGCAGGATGTGGTCTGTGGTCTTCTGGAGGTTGCAGGAAGGGGTCTGAGGTCTTCTGGTTACTACTGAAGCAGGTCTTTGGTGTTCTACTGGCTGAAGTGTATTAGTAGCTTTGGGAGAAGGAATTTGCCCCCTTGCCCTTTAACACTATATCCAGATTTTGGCCATGCTCACATTTCAGAGCAGCACACCTAGCATGCTAACATTTCTGTTTATAGTCATAGTGTCTCAGGTCAAAGAGTAGGACCCTCTCAAAGCCCCTGGATACTTACACACACACAATCACACACACGCCACACAAGCACACCAGTTAGTAACCTTCTGCATTCCCTTAACCCAACACACCTAGTGGATTCCATAGACCCCTGCACATGTACAGATGCAAATGGATACAAAACACAACCAGCTGTGCCACTCTACGTAGCTCCAAGCATAACAAAGCAGCACAAATTCCAGTAGCAGGCAAGGGTCATTTACAGCTAAGAGGGGCAATGCCACTGAGCATTACAAAAGTCTTTTCTTCCTTTATGATGATATCATGTAAATCATTTAACGCAAGTTTACAAACCTGCTTTTTGGTTTAGGAGCTAATTTTACAAGGATGTACTTGATGACACTAGAATCCTTAGAAATGTAGACTTGTAGAATTGTAGACAAGGCATTGGGGGGCTCAGAAAGCCGCAGACCACAATCTATACAACCAATTTACATTGCTGTTTACTGTCATTTCTATATCAGTTTTTGGTGTTGCAATGAGATTATACTGTATAGTTGTCTATATGCTAAATATAGAAGAAAGCTCACACAAGCTTTTCAGTGTTCCCTAGGCAGCATCAATGTAAAATGTGTGATTACTGTAGTTGTATAGGAATATGTGGGCAGCTATATATGCTTATAAGTGGTGCATCGAAATGAAAATTCTGGTGCAGAAACCGAAATTTAGAATGCACTTGGCCGAAAAACCGAAACGGGGAATTTTTTGGAAAAAAATACACTAATGTTTAAAAAAAAATCACAATATTTACCTAATTTTTTGGGAAATTTGAAAGATGATGCTACACCAAGTAAATAGATACCCAACATGTCACGCTTTAAAACTGCGCACGCTCGTGGAATGGTGTCAAACTACGGTGCTTAAAAATCTCCATTGGTGACTCTTTAAAAATTTCTACAGGTTACCAGTGTAAAGTTACAGAGGAGGTCTAGCTCTAGAATGAACTTTCTAATGAAATCAATGAGAGTGCAAAATCACTTGATCCCCCTGAAGAACGATGCTGAGTT